AACAAGATTAGAACACATCAAACAAGATCACTAGGGTGGCTTTTGTATTGGATCACACTTCGGACACTTCCCAAGTGTCTAGGATTGTGTGATGTATCTACGAATAATGCGGATCAGAGTAGGATGGCCTTTTGCAGCTGACAGATCGTAATTTTGTCAGCACGGATTGTTTTTAAGTTCAGGCCAAGGTCTTTAGGCACTGCACCCAGTGTGCCGAATTATTATTATTATTATTATTATTATTATTATTAGAGACATAACAAGATTAGTACACAGCAAACAAGATCACTATGCCGGCTACTAATCTTGTTATGTTTCTAATAATAATAATAATAATAATAATAATAATAATAATAATAATAATGTCTGTGTATAACCCGCTTTTTCTCTCCAGTAGGAGACTGAAAGAGTTGGAAGGAACCATAAGAGCCATCCAGCCCAACCTCTTGCCATGGAGGAGCACGCAAAGCACTCCCGACAGATGACCGCTCAACCTCTGTTTAAAAACCTCCAGAGAGGCGGCTTTGAGGATTCAATGCCACCTCTCTGGAGGTTTTTAAACCTCCGCTGGGCCACAGAAATCTGGTGAGTGACCTTGAGCAAGTCACACTCTCGCAGCTGAGGAAATGACAAACGTCGCCTTGATACATCTTGCCAAGAGACCCCCAGTGATGGGCTCGTCATTGTGTCGCCATGAGACGCATGCAACGAGGAAGACAACTCCAGTCCCAACCTGCGATAGCTTTCGGCATGTAGGTCGGAGGTATACCCTCTCTTTCCCCCTCCCAGGGCCGGGCTTCGTCGCCCGCCCGCCCTCCCTCCAACGAAGCCTCTGGGGTTCGCCAAAGGCGCTTCTCCGGCTTCAGAGCCAAGTTTTTGGCAAACGCCGCCGCGCCGCCGCAAGGAAGCGATGCTTGATTAGATCCCCGGGTCCCCCTCCTTCTCTTCCCTTCCCTTCCCTTCCTTTCCTCTCCTCGACGCCCCCTCCTTCCCTCCCTCCCTCCCTCCCTCCCTCCCGCCCGCTTTTCTCCTCGCTCTTTTCCTAGGTGTATATATTTAGCCAGCAGACACCCAGAGGGTTTTAAAAAGACTCCGCGTTCCCTCCTCCCACAATCATGCAGCAAACACGTTCAAGAGCGGCTTGCAGCAGGGAAGCCGCGGAGCCTCTCTCTCCTTCGGCGCGGCTGATTACAGCCCCGAAACGGACGGCGACGTGTAATTTCAGCCCGGGCTTGATTTTCCAGGGGGCCCACTTAGCCGAGGGGAAGAGGAGGAGGGAGGGAGGCAGAGGGGGAGAGGGAGAGAGAGGGGGCCGAGAGCAGAGCCTCTCTTTCTTTATTTCTCTCTCTCTCTCTCTCTCTCTCTCTCCCCGTCCCTATTAGCTATGCAGCCAATCTATCATTTCCGGCGGTGCTTCCATCTAATTACCGATGTATTTAGATGTGACGTGCAAAAGCGGGAGAGAGAGAAAAGAAGCAGGAGAGGAAGAAGCCCAAGTGCCGAGAGCCGAGAGCCGCCCGCTTGGCCGCCTCCGCCTCCTCCTCCTTCTCTCGTCGGGAAGCTTTCCAGAAAGCGAGGGCTGGGGCTCTCGCAGCCTAAGCTCTCCAGACAAAGAGGCAGGGGCTGAGCGAGCGAGTCAGCGGCGCTGCTGCTGCGGGCAAATCCAACGCAAATGAGCTTTCCTGGGAGGGAGGGAGAGAGAGAGGGAGGGGCGGCCTCCCGGGTCTGGAAGAAGACAGGGAAGCGGGGGGGGGGGGCCCGAAAGCCAGGGCTCCCCTTATCTCCCCCTTGCAGAGCCCTGTCCGGGACATTTGTCAAGGCGAAATACGACGATGGGAGGGCAAGCCAGTCCCGTTTGGACACCTATCTTTGAAGGAAAGGGGAAAGGAAGGAGGAGGCTCAACCCTGCTCCTAAAGGCCGTGTCCTGGCCCAATTCTCGCCAATTCTTCGCTCCAGCGGTTTTGTCCTTGGGCGCCTTCTCTCCCTTCTTCCCCTCCCGCTCCGGCTCCCACCCGCGGGACGGAGAGAGTGACCCACGCCTCTCCAACTCCCTGTCCCCTCCTTCCTTCCTTCCTGGCTGCTCGCCCGGTGCTCCTTCCTGCTCCGCTGCGCTCGGCTGGCGCGGCCCCAACAGGACACGGGGTTCAGCGCGCTCGCTCCGTGGAAGGAGGAGTTCCCAAACAAGAGGGAAACTTCTGGGAACGGAGGGCTCTGGCACGGGGTGAGGTGGGACGCGGTGGAGAGCCCCCACCCCCACCCCGCCCACCGCCTTTTCCTGGGGGGAAGGGAAGGGAGGGGTCAAAAAGATCCAACATCCAAGAAATCGAGTCCCTTTCAGCGGAAATATATATAAACATACAACAATATACATACAGTGGGTTGTTGTGAGTTTTCCGGGCCGTATGGCCATGTTCCAGAAGCATTCTCTCCTGACGTTTCGCCTGCATCTATGGCAGGCATCCTCAGAGCTTGTGAGGATGCCAGCCATAGATGCAGGCGAAACGTCAGGAGAGAATGCTTCTTGGACATTTATTTATTTATTTCGCATATTTGTATCTCGGAGGGGAACTCAGGGCGGCTATATAGCCCGGAAAAGTCACAACAACCCAGTGATTCCGGCCATAAAAGCCTTCCACAATACAAGAGACATACATCTATGTCTCCGACCTGCGAAGGGTTAACCAAGACTCATTCGAAGGGACCTTATCTCTGGGTGACCTTTTCCTCGCAATTCTCCTTGTCCCCCTCCCCTCTCTCCTTTTCAGGCTCCGGTTCTTTCGCTCGCAGGGAGTCTGAACGGCTGTCTAGACCGATCTATCACAGGCGGGCGAAACAAAACCAGGGAAAAGAGAGGACCCCCCCCCCTTTCCCCCCCCTTTCCCTCTCCGCTTCCCTCGCTGTTGCTCACCTCCGAGGCCAGGAAGGGAAGGGGGAAGGAGCCCACGGTCCGCGAGCAGAGCAGCCACCAGGAAGGCAAGGCAGACCTCTCTTCTCCTCCCCTCCCCCTCTCTCCCCGCAACCAGGCCACCTTCATGGCTGACAAATGGGATTTGGTCTGCCCTTTTGAGCGCACGCCAAAGGCGCCCCACACGTTTCGTGTGCCACTCACTGCTACACTGGGAGAAAGCCTGGATTCCCCCAAAGGGGGGTGATGATGATGGTGGAGAAAAGTGGGAAGGGGGAGGGAAAGAGGCGGTTAGGAGCCCAAATGGTGGCCCCCGGGATCCTTTTTCCGCTCGCCCCGGGCTTTCTGGCTCTGACCTGACCCCACTTCGCACCAAAGTCGCTTCCGGTCCCTGCGTGGGAGAGGCAATTCCGGCTAAGAATTAATGGAGCATCCCTCCGAATGGCCATCCCGAGAGCAACGCTCTTGCGTGGCCCAAATGGGAAGCCAACGTCGAGGCAGGAGGCAAGACGGGGATTTGTGGGGGGAAGGAAGGAAGGGGAGAGGGAGAGAGATTAAACCCTTGCTTTATAATCCCACGAAAAGCAATTAAGATTGTCTGGATCGGAGGAGAGAGAGAGAGAGAAAAAAGGACAAAACCCACCCGCTTCTGCGGAGCAACCCCCTCCTTCCCCTCCCCCAGGAGCCAACTCACAAAGGCAAACCAACCGGCGAAAGATTAAAGGGAGCAGACCGTCCTCTCCGTCTGCTTTACTCCGGAGTTAAGCAGCAACAAGCTGCTCCAAGCCTGGAGTTGTATAAACACCGCTTTCCATCCCGAGGCGTCTGCCGCAGCCCACGGGCGACCGACCAGCAGCCAAGAGACAGAAAGAGATAAAGAGAGAGAGAAACTCGACGCAGCGGCCGCGGAAAGGCGACGCCAAGAGCCACGCGTGCCAATGTGGGGCAAAGGAGGACCAGCAGCCAAGAGACAGAAAGAGATAAAGAGAGAGAGAAACTCGACGCAGCGGCCGCGGAAAGGCGACGCCAAGAGCCACGCGTGCCAATGTGGGGCAAAGGAGGAAACTCGAGGGGAAGGGGGAGGGCAGTTAACCTCTTTTAGCGGCCCCATAGCAAGTCAGCCAACTTTTAAAGGGAGCTCCGTGTCATCCCCTCCCGCAGAAGGGGGGGGGGAAGGGAGAAATGCCCGCCGCTTATCTTTGTCAACCCAGAGTTTTCGTGGGACTTCGTCTAAGGCGGCCCTTTGGCTTTGGGCCTCTTTCCCGGAAAAAAAGTTCAGAAAAGCTTGACATCCTTCCTGTGGAAGCAGAACGATCCCACCCGCCCTTTGGTCGCAGGTCCCTCCGGAGAGAAGATTGGCACTTGAGGGAATGCCACGGATTCGGTGGGAAGGGGTGTTTTGTTTTTGTTTGCTGTTCTGCTTTTTGGTGCCTTGAGAGACTCAGAGGAGAGTCCCCTTCGGACTCAGAAGAACCTATTTCATTACTTGGGAGGGGGGCCCTGCTTTCCTCTCCATAGCTTCCCCCCACTAGTTCTACCCCACCCGTATCAAGGCTTTTGTGAGTCTAAATCGCAACTCCTCGAAACCTGAAGGCGAAGAATGGAAGCACTCCCCAAGGAAGGAAGGAATATGCGGCGAGCCTCAAAGGTTGCGCTCCAGCGACCCTCAAAAGCGCGAGGTGTTTAGTAAACAGACTCGGCCATCCGGTTCCGGGAGGAGGCAAGTGGCCAGCCTTCCCTTCCCGACCGCCCCCTCCCCAACTAAGCCAGATCCAAGGTGCAAAGGAGGCGTTAAATCCCACTGCCGGGCCCCCTCCGGCACCAACTCTTTGGGCTGGAACCAGCAGCTCTTGGAACGGAGCTGCCTTTCTCTGTCCCCACTCCCTCCCCCTCAGCCGCCCACCCGGGACCGTTTCCACGAGGCAAACACACACGCAGCAGCCCGCTTCCTGCCGCCCACTCCGATCTGCCGTGGCCTCGAAAACAACCCCGGAGACAAAACCTCCCTCCATCTCCGCAGTCCTTTCCACACGCCCCCGACACGCGTGGATCCCCGCCGAAGCCTTTCTTTTCCTCCCCCGCCATCCGTTTTACCTCAAAGGCTTCGCCGGTCCCTTCCCGGCCCTCATCTCTTTGACCTCTGCTGCCCAAAGGTGAGCCCAAAGGGCGAGGCGTCGCCAGGAGGGGCCGCCCACGATCCCGCCGCGCGCGGACACTTCACCTTTCCCTCTCTCTCCCCGATCCCCTTGGGAGCCAGAAGGGGGGCTTTCGGGGAGAGAAAAGGAAGCGAGTCGCCTCCTCCTCCGCGACAGGCACCTTCCTCTTTCCGCGTCTTCTCCTATTTCCAAGTAGCACACGGCTTCGCGACGCAACCGTCTCCAAACTTCAAGCCCGACAACACACCCGCCCCCGACCCACCCAACACAAGTCAATCCTGACCTCGGACTCGACTCCCTTCCGCCTTCCTCCTCCTCCTCCTCAATTCGGGTCGCAATCCTGTCTCCCCGACAGAGAGAAAGGCAGGCAAACCCGGACCAAGACTGCCGCTCTGGCGTCCTCGCGGTGGGTGTCCTTTGCACACACGCGTGCGCGCGCACACACAGAGAGACACACACACATACGCACACACAGGCGTATTTCTCTCTCCCCCCCCTTCCCCCCACCCGCCAGATCCGAAAAAGATCTAGGGAACCCCACCAAAAGGCATCCAACAAGGAAGGGTTGGGCTCCCTTTCGTTCCCAGTTTCTGGAGTTCGGCGTCTCAGAGAGTTCAACGAGAAGGGCACTGACCTGGATCCCTTGGCTCTCGGGCGGAGAAAGAAGGCGGGGGGGGGGGGGGAGTCCGAGGCTTCCTGTATGTAGCGCGTCCCCTTCTTCTTCCTCCTCCTCTGTCTACGGTGGGCGAGAAAAAGTTTGCCGATCTCCTGAGGCGAGACGCTGGGTCTGCCTCCGCCGTCCGTCTGAGGCTTGACGCCGCTTGACGCCGGTGGGGTGGCAAAGGGAGGGAAGGGGCCCTCGGTGGGGTGGGAAGAGGCGAATGGGGCGGTGGAGGCAGGGGTCAGCGCCCCAGCGGGCTCCGCTTTGGCAGCAGCGCCATGTTCCTGCGGGGCTCCGGGCTCGACGGCTCTCTCTCGACCGCGAAGGCGCCTACATGCTCCTGCCTCTCCCTCGTCCCCTTCGGAGAGCCCTCCTCTGAGCAAAGGGCTGCGTGTTTGTGGGGGGAGGAGATGGCTGGGCTCTAGGGATTGAATCCGCCAGGGAAGCCGCTCTTCCTCACCTTGCCGCTTGGGAGACCGGGCTCCGTCTGCTGCACATTGCCCCCCCCCCTCCGCCCCTGGCTCGTCTTTTCCTCCTCCTCCTCTTCCCCGCCCCTTTTGCTTTCCCCTCCCCCTCGGGCTCCGCGGAGGGAGGGAGGAGGGAGACGTCGCCAGCAGAGAGAGGCAGCAGCAGCAGAAGCGACGCCGAAACAGCCAGCCTCTCTTCCTCTCTCCCCCTCTCTCTCTTTCCTCCTCACTCGCTTCTCTCCCTTTTTAAAAGACTCTCCTCTTTCTCTCCTTGAGTCCCCCTTCCTCCTCCTCTTCCTCTGCTTCTTCTTCTCTCTCTCTTTCTCGTCCCAAAAGAGAGACAAACACACACCCGCCGCCGACGTCCTTCCCCCTCGCCTCGCCCTGCCTGAGGGCGTCCTGAGGAGACTCCGCTCTCCTTTTGACCAGGAGAGAGAGGGGGGGGGAGGGGAGGGAGAGAGGGTTGAAAAGGAAAGTCTCCTCCCGCCTGACCGCCCTTCCCCCCCTTTCGCTCCAGACCCTGCTCCGCTCTCTCGCTACCCAGAAGGCCAGTAGAGAGCCGCAATTACCATAAAGCTCCTCTCCCTTCGCTTCACCAAGCTGTCAAAGCCCGGCAGCCGAGGAGGAGGAAGAGGAGGAGGCAGTGGCAGCAGCAGCAGCGTGAAGACCTTCTTGACATGAGAGGCGCCCACCCAGCTCCCCCCCCCGCCCCCACTTTGCGGAAGGGCTGCGCTTCGCTCCCTCGAGGAGTCTGGGCTCCAATCCCTTCCCTCCTAAGAGTCTTTTAAAGTCCTCACCTTTTCTAGGGCAGGGGGGCGAAAGGACGGACTCCTCTGCTCATTGCCTTTTCTGACTTATGGAGGCCTCAGAGTTTCTCTAGGGTTGAGAGTGTGCGACTCGCCCAAAATGGGTTCCCAAAGTGCAGCAGGGAATGGAAACCTAGGCCCCTTCCACACAGCTGAAAAAAAAATCCCACATTATCCGCTTTAAACTAGGATATATGAAGTGGCTGAGGCTCCTTCCACACTACCCCTATATCCCAGGATTTGATCCCAGATTATCTTCTTATCCCAGAGTATCTGTCAGTGGAGACTCATATAATCCCCTTTAAAGCAGAAAATCTGGTATCAGATCCTGGGATATAGGGTAGTGTAGAAGGGGCCTAACTACGGTTCTAAACCGATATTGTGGGATTTTCTGCCTTGATATTCTGTGTTATAGGGCTGTGTGAATGGGCCCTGTGTCCACACTCAGATATTGTGGGATTTTCTGCCTTGATATTCTGGGTTATAGGGCTGTGTGGAAGGAGCCCTAGGGCCCTTGACTTGTCCACGCTGGACAAGTCAAAACAGATAATGTGGGATTTTCTGCCTTGATATTCTGGGATATAGGGCTGTGTGGAAGGGCCCTATCTCCCCAAAGCCCACAAGACACTACGCCACGCTGCCCATGGACGCTTCCATTATTCTGTTCCCCGCGTGGACTCCAGACAGGAAATTATTCAGGATGTATGTATTGTCGAATGCTTTCATGGCTGGAATCTCTGGGCTGTGTTGTGAGTTTTCTAGGCTGTATGGCCATATTCCAGAAGCATTCTCTCCTGACCTTTCGCCTGCATCTATGGCAGGCACCAGGCCCGTAGCCAGGATTTCGATTTGGGGGGGGGGCTGAGTTTGTTTCGGGGGGGGGCTGAGTCTGAGTGAAATAGGGTCTACCCTAGCAAACCTTTTGTATCGTTACCCCAATACCCCCATGCATATGGGATATATTGAGTATGGTGATCAGATCATGATATGAATAAACATAACAGATTAAATAATGCACCAGTAAGGCCTTCTCGTGGACCACCATGAGAATTTGGGGGGGGGGGGCAAGCCCCCCCCCCCCCCCTACATGCCTGGCAGGCACCCTCAGAGGTTGTGATGTCCCAGGCGGAATGTCAGGAGATAATGCTTCTGGAACATAGCCATACAGCCCAGAAAACTCTCAACAACCTCAACAACCTATTCAGGATCTGCCTCCTTTCCATCCCCTTTGGCCTGTACTCCCCCCGCAGATTTTCCTTTAGGCTCCTTCCACACATCTGAATAAAACCCCACATTATCTGATTTGAACTGGAATATATGGCAGTGTGGACTGGGATAACCCGTCTGGAAGAGCCCTGAGAAGCCCCAGTTTCGGGAGTTCGGAGACGCCGATCTCCCGAAACTGGAAAAGAAGGGGATAAATTTCTTTGTTCCTTTCAGCCTTTCTTTCCCCCCCCCCCCGCCCCCTCCTCTTAATGGGCGCCCCATTGACATCCACAGCTCGACAGGGTGGATTGTTGTTTCCTCCGTCACCCCTCCCCCCATCCACTTTGCAACCTTATCTGCTCTTTCTTCCCGGGGGAGAAATGCCCTTTAACCCTCCTTTTTGAGGGGGAGGGTTGCGATAACCCTGCGGTGCTTCCCGGGGGAGAAATGCCCTTTAACCCTCCTTTTTGAGGGGGAGGGTTGCGATAACCCTGCGGTGGGCCTCCTCCCCTCCCAACCTGTATTCTAAGCCTCCCTCCGAAGCATCCGCTTCCCCTTTATCTCCTCTTTCCAGAAACGCACAAACCGTCGCTTTCCTCCAACGTTCCCGGTTTTTATTTTGGGTTTATCGCCCCCCTGCACCCTCCGCTCCGCCCCCTCCCCCCCGTTCCGTTTTGGGTTGTTGTTGTTGTTCTTTTAATCCCCGCGGGGTTTTCTCCTTCCTCTCCGCCACCCCCACCTTTCATCCCGCCCCTCGGGTGTCATGGAAAACATGCGTTTCTCAACAGCAGCCAGGCACTTTCCGGAGAAGCAGCGCGGCTTCCCTTTTTCTGGGTGCCTGAAAGGCAGGCAACGCGTGGCGTGCTGCCTCGGCTCGGCGAGTCTCGGCTCTCTCCGCATTGCTATTGACTCGCTGGGGAGTTCTCGGCCTGCCTCTGGATTTCCTCATCGCTGGCGCAGCCCTCATCATCTCCCTTATCTGCTTAACTGGGCAAGGCAGCTGGGCCGGCCGCGTTCCTCACGCCTAGATCGCATCGGGCGCATCTCTCCTGTTGACTGAAGGACGGTTGTTGGCTGCCCTGCCTTACTGGCTATGGACTCCTTGGGAATTGCAGTTTGGCAAAAAGGACTAAGGACCTTATAAAACCACCACTCCAAAGACCCCATAGCCTTGAGCCATGGAGTTGTAGTTTGGCAGAAAGGACTGAAGATCTTACAAAACCACAACTACAATGACCCCAGAGTGCTGAGCCATGGAGTTGTAGTTTGGCAAAAAGGACTAAGGACCTTACGAAACCACCACTCCAATGACCCCATAGCATTGAGCCATGGAGTTGTAGTTTGGCAGAAAGGACTAAAGACCTTACAAAACCACAACTCCATGACCCCATTGTCTTGAGCCATGGAGCTGTAGTTTGGTAGAAAGCACTAAGGACCTTACAAAACCACAACTCCATGACTCCATAGCCTTGAGCCATGGAGCTGTAGTTTGGCAGAAAGGACTAAGGACCTTACAAAACCACCACTCCAGTGACCCCATAGCCTTGAGCCATGGAGTTGTAGTTTGGTAGAAAGGACTGAGGACCTTACAGAACCACCACTCCAATGACCCCATAGCGTTGAGCCATGGAGTTGTAGTTTGGCAGGAAGGACTGAGAACCTTACAAAACCACAACTCCAATGACCCCCCATAGCCTTGAGCCATGGAGTTGTAGTTTGACAGAAAGGACTAAGGGCCTTACAAAACCACCACTCCAGTGACCCCATAGCCGGCAGAAAGGACTAAGGACCTTACAAAACCAAAACTCCAATCACCCCAAAGTGCTGAGCCATAGAGTTGTAGTTTGGCAGAAAGGACTAAAAACCTTACTAAACTTCGACTCCAATGACCCCAGAGTGCTGAGTCATGGAGTTGTAGTTTGACAGAAAGGACTAAGGACCTTACTAAACTTCGACTCCAATGACCCCATAGCGTTGAGCCATGGAGTTGTAGTTTGGCAGGAAGGACTAAGGACCATACAAAACTACAGTGACCCCATAGCAGTTCA